GCGTGCCCTAGGTTTAACAACCTCAGAACGGAAACATGGGAAAACGGGGAAGGAAGGGGGGAAAGGTTGGATCTCAAGGAGATCTTGACGACGCCTAAGCTAGCTAAGAAGGCTGCAAGATTTATGATCTTAACTAGACTCCTCGGGCAATATGGAGCAATTACGGAGGACAAAATACGATAAGGCATGCACTGAGTTCTTTCGGTTTATAGGACAAACAGGAGTCAGGGGGACCCACTGGAGGACCTTGGCTACCATCTAGACTGTATTATATGATGTATATTAGCTATAGATACCCATCGTCTGCATAGCTGCGGAAAGCGGCTGGGCCGGACGTTAAATTGAATAGAAGAAGAAGAAGAAGAACGGCAGTGGCCCAGGGACGGCAGTGAACCTAGGGACGGTAGTAACCCAGGGACGGTAGTGAACCCAGGGACGGTAGTGAACCCAGGGACGGTAGTGAACCCAGGGAAGGCAGTGAACCCAGGGAAGGCAGTGGCCCTAGGGACGGCAGTGGCCCCAGGGACGGCAGTGAACCTAGGGGCGGTAGTGAACTAGGGAAGGCAGTGAACCCAGGGAAGGCAGTGGCCCTAGGGACGGCAGTGGCCCCTTTACACAATGTATAGATTGAATCTTATAGTTAAATCGCTGCTGTTTTTAGCTAGCTCTCTAACTGCTATAAAAGATGCTCCAGGCTCTCTTTCCATCTTCCTGTTGAGATCATCTAGTCTCTTTTAGCTGCTGGTTCTCTTTGTAAATCGCTAGCATTACAGGCACTTTCTGATATCCATCTGCCCGAGTGCAATCCTGAATCAAAAAACAACATAGGTAGCATGCTTCACACCAATCACTGATGCGCCATAATGTCGAACTCTTGTATTTGTGCGCCCTAATGCTGAATAACACCCTGGCAGCGGCAAAGAGAAAGACAGAACCAATACACTAAAGACTAAGTTAGAATGAGATAACTGCTTGTTCATTGAGAGATATCAGTCATAATTAAAAAATTGATACATAAACAAAAATTATAGTTACGAAAGGCAACTTTATCTGGTCGCTTTGTGTGGCAATAAGAACTTATATGTGAACAGACGCAGCCGATGGCTGAAAATTGGCAAGCTTAAACATATAAGAAAAAGAGTCCGCAAGCTTAAAACTATTTAAAAAAGCAAAAAAGATCTGCAAGTCAAAACTGCAAGCTAAAAAGATCTGCAAGTCAAAATGATGTGCAAGCCAATTCTCTAAAAGTTAATGCTAAGAATTTATTGTGGCAGAGGTGGCTATTCTCTATCAGAGAGAGAAAAAGGGCCTAGGGAGTTTACAGCTAAGTTACATTCCAATTTCTAGAGTTCTTCGTCTATCTCATCCTGCGGATGTACTTCACGAGTCCGCTTCGGATCATCCTGCTCTTCTTCTTCTTCTTCTTGCCTTGATCTTGTTAGCCGTCCCGCCTTCCGCTTTCCAGTTTTAGTATCATACATCGACACGTATTTCTCAATATCATCTACTGATGCAGAAGCTGTGATGGATATTCCAGGAGCTGTCTTTGGACCAACAAATAACAATCTCTCCTCTTTGGCTACTGCCAGGATTCTTTCATCAGGTAAACTTTGACCTTTTTTCCCGACATAATGCATGAAAAAGTGATCTTTAGATAGTAAGAATATCGTAGATTGAAGAGCGAAGTCATCATTCCAAAATTTGTAGAATTGTCGAGTAGAAAACATATAGAAGACAATGAGGCCGTCGTCTTGAGAAGCATACCACATGTTCAATATCTCATCTGTACTGCGATTCGCTGCTATGGCAAGCCTCGTATTTGGGTCGCCGCTAAAGTCTTCAAATCCTGATGCTTGGGGGACCGTTAGCTTATTCGTGCCCGAGGGCACGTAGCTGCTTAAAATGGAAGATTGCCCTGGCAGGATAGATCGCTCAAATGGGACGTCTCGGCTACCTGATGAATGATCTTCATGAACCCAGGATTCTGTAGGTGGTGTCGACTCCATATAACTACTTGTTTGCCACGGCAGGGTGGGTCGTTCCAATGGGATGCCAGGGCTGCCTGTTGGATGATCTTCATGCTCTGGAGATTCCGGAAGTTCCAAAATTTGATCATATATGGGTTCCTTCCCAAAGAAAGAGAATATTATCTCCCGTGTAACCGCAATTGAAGTCGGATGATGAGCAATAGATTGATCAGTACCGTAAATATGCTCAATGAAAAAATAACACCGGTCACTCTCAAGGTGGGAGGCAAGGGGTCGATTATACCGACGACAAAGAGGCTCGCTCGTTGCATTTTTACTGAATACTGGCACTCCATCAGCTATTTTTCTTTTCTCCTGCAGTTGCTTTAGAGTGTTTTGTATTCTGCGCACAGCGTCACTAAGTCTCTTTGGCTCTGGTTCATAGAGTTCGACCTGACACATATGCTCAACGAAATAGCGGCACGTCTGTTCATTGGCATCCTGGTTAGATAACTTTTTAATCTCTGTGGAGCTAAAACCTAAGCTTATGGCTTCGTCTGCCAAAAAAGGCAAACCTCGGATAGAGGAAAACGTATGGATAGCCTCAGACGTGTGAGAATCCTTGAGCGGGCTGACGAATAGCCGTATAGCACAGAGCCACAGCGGAACGTATGATAGATACGATGCTGCTTTCAAAGTACCTGCTGCTATTCTGTAACCTGCTGCAGATGTTTGGATGATGTATGAATTTTCAGTATGCACATATTTCTTCAACAGTGCATTCCTGACAGAGCCCTTAAAAGTTTTCGGAAGAAGACCACGTAATGCTTTGCTAGGGAGTTCTAGGAATAGTAAGTCCTGACTGAAAGTGTGAAGAGAGAGTATTCTTCCGGAGACCTGAAGCAAACGTTCCAAAACCTTGCTTCTTCTCTCTGAATCTATAAGTGCAGGAAATATTTCTCTGTTGTTCATCAGATCTTGAATACGTTTCTGATCCACTAGAGAGTATGCTGGCATCAGACCCTCTAAGAGATGCACTGACTGTGCATCAACCAGAGCAGCAGCATCATGAGGAAGCACAGACCAGACTTTAAAAGTCTGGTCTAAGTAATTAATCGACTCCTGTTAAGAAATCAGCATGCCCTAACAACAAACATTTATGGGCAGGAGACTCACCTCATAACATCTGGAGTCAACAATACGCCGAAAGAGTTTAACATTGACTGAGGCCCACAGCCCAACATACGGTAAGAGGCGATCAAATTGGTTTAGCAGTCGCTCCTGTTTCTGCATCTGGCGCACATGGCGGCGTTTAGGGGAACTCCACCTTGCCCACCAGGCTTCCGCTCGAGGACCATTACCCCGTAGCTGATGATAGCGGAGGTTGCGATAGATGTCACCATCGCCGAAATTCTGCTCATTTGAGTACTTTTCTCGCAGCCGATCTCTCGCAGCAGCTGGAAGGCCTTTCCACTAGTTAGTGGAATATCATACTCGTGAGAAAAAGGGCAGGACTTACTGTCTAGATAAAGTCTTGCTCCCCACCATCTCTCACCAGGTGAGAAAAATTCCTGCGCCGCTCGTATGCGGCTTTTGCCCTGCAAACATAGAAGCCTTGTGCCATGCCCCAAGATTAGATTTGGGGGTTCGATACCATTTAAAAGCACGACCTGTGTCGTCCTGGAGTCATCTATTGCCTGGCTCAAAGTATTCTGGCTAATGAGAACAGGAACATAATTCTCAGGGTCCTCACGGTCACAACCCACAGACTCAAATAATTTTAGCAGTCTCAAGACATTTTGACTCTCGACATTCTGGCCTACGGGCCGGGAGCCGAGGACGTGGTCATCCTCCAGCCGAAAATGTGAAAGGTCAATCTTTGCGTACCCTCGGAAATGCCGGATGGCCTCTACCGTCTCCGGGTTGGCTGTGTGGCCGTCAATATCCTCCATGTGCTCCATGTTTGACGCATGGCAGGGACAGGAGGCAAACGATTCGTAATATTTATATAGTGCAACTGAACCAGCCTGCACCAGAAAATGGCTCGCAGAAGAAGTTCCTTTCGGCGTGCGCACGTTCGCGAAATGCCATGGCATTTTATGCCGAGAAAATACCATCACCTGGATCCATGTCTTTTCGCGTGAAGTATATCTCCGATGCTATGCACTGAACTAAATCCATCGTCTATATCTTCTTCCCTGTCATGGGGCTGCGTTTCTAGCTTTACCAATCAAATAATGCATGAAATGTCTGGCGGAAAAGGTACATTAGAAGCGCTAGACAGGGCCTGAATTACCACTAACCGCCATCATGTTTTAAATACGAAAGGGATATTGTTTCTCCAATTATAATTTTAGCAATTCATTAACTGCTTTGTGTCATTGATAAGAGCTCTGACTGAACTGTCTGTAGAGGTGAGATAGCCTCAGTCACTCTCTGTAACCATTCGCCAGCAGTCTGTTGAAAGAACTTGGTCGTTGATAGCCATTGCTTAGCTTCTCCTTCGAGATGTATGATCTTTGCCTGCTGTTCCTCACTCAGTCTCTTTAAATTCTCTATGGTTTCCTCAGCAAGCTCTCTTCTTTTCACCTCACAGGCTGCTTGTAGCTTCCATTGTACCAGCTCCTCAGATTCTAACTCTTCATTTCTAGCTAGAACAGCGTGGGATACCATATTTATTGAGCCTGTGTCAGCCTGGTCATCGTCATCTTCTGACACTTGTAGCAATTCTTCTGCAAAAATAGCCTGTAAAAGCTTTCTCTCCAAATTTTCATCCACTGCTTGGCACAATGTCTTGTACGCTCTGATTGAGTGTTTGCTAAGATGCGTTTTGAGCAGTTGCTTGATTGAGGGAGCTGCCTTCCATCTATAAGATGTATTGACATTTGGGATCAAGCGCACATCAGCCGGATCAACTCGGATCTTCAAGGTCTTCCCTGTTTGATTTTGTTAACTGAATGGGACATTTATCTTTCTTTGGTTGACCTTACAGATGTGATCTGATAATGCCCTTCGGCATTTAGTCCTCCAGTAGGAACGGTTGTGGTTACGTGGCTCTGCCATGATCAGCAGCTATCCATTTGTCTCCGCATAGATGTGAAGTTGAGGGTATAAATGGCGGCATCTGCGGTGTTAAGTATGCATGTGAGATGCGCGCCGATTCTGTCTGCGATGCATTACAGATTCGGTAGGAGAGTGTTGGACCTAGTTACACTAACACTAGGATTTTTGCGCGCCGATTTCGTTCTCAATAAAATATGCACTTGCAGCTGTTTCCAGGATCTGTTCTATCAATGCTTGCAAGCCCACTTCACGACAGTACACTCGCAGAGCAAAATGACTGGCATCACAATAGAAACAGAGTGGATTATTGAATTGTTCTTGATATTAGCTTCTTCTTGTTTTCTTAGAACATCTCTCTTCCTGTGAACCACAGGGCAAAATATAATTTTATGTATACTGTCCGCATGTAGAAAAGATGTTTCGAAACAGACTCGCCACTTGGCTCCTACAGCGAATTAAGGCTACGACTTTATCAACTCTGCGGAAATTGGGACAGTTTAGTGATTAGGAATTGAAGAGTAGAGCCTCGATTTTCTTCTAGCTGCTGAATAGTATGGCAAGTCAAGGATGAAGGATAGCGTGAGCTTGGACCCAACCGATGCCGCATTCCTTCCAACTAAATGGTCCCGAGGGGCCAAATTAGACGCTATGCAGCCAGCTAGTAGCGCATTCGACCCATCATTTACTTCCCTAGATGTCTGTTGTATCATCTTGTCTTGGCTCAGGGTGAGGAACGGCGCTTTTTGCTCGCGGGCTGTGGCGGACCGTCGCACTGATCCCTGGGCTGGCACGATTCTTCAACCGTAGCTCTGTCAACCCCAGAGTTTTCCACAGGTCGTGCTTCATCCAGCTGAGCACGATCGTCACTGAAATCCCATGTTCTCTTCCTCGAAACGCAGTTCGAACGAGATTCCCTGAGCGTATGGACATTGTAGAAATGGCGTTTAAGACCTGTCACGCCCTTGTAATTTGTGTCACCACAGCAGGGATGAGGGCATAAAATAGCTTTCTCGAAACTCAACTTGCTCAAATGCTGATTGTCAATATGATTCAGTAGGGTGGCAGTTTTCATCCATTGTGTAAACCGTCTTTCCGGTGGCATCCTCTCGTCACCCAAACAGAATGGGCAGAATCCAGGGGCAACAAGTGTGTAGCGGAATGTAAGCCTACCACATCGGGGTTGGAGATTTTGCAAATGGGTTTTGCAGTGCCGAGCCCAGTCGGCCTCGTCATTGCAGAAGAGGGTACAAAGATAACAGAATTCGAGAAATACGCGGCCGACTCGTCGATGGGCCCTTTTGCCGTTCTGGTATTGCTGCTGATAAGGTGCGGCATTCATCGATTTTCTCCTGCACTGCAGAATATGTTTTGCGCGGAACTGAAGGGAGACACTGCTAGAACATTAGCAGCCAGCAGAGAGAGGCATGATGTGTTAGAACCGACCTAGACATTGAACAAGAGCACACAGGACACAGTCCATCAACTGGCGATAGCCCGGGGTAATATGCAACTCTTTCTGTTGACATGCAAAGATTTACTGCATCTTGCAGACACTGCCTGCCAACCTCACTATCAAGGGAGGCCTCTTTGAAAAGGTTCTCTTTGAGTCGAGCCCTTTCAGGTATGTATTTGGAGTAGATATCAAAGAGATTCGTTGTATCCTTTTCGTTGAACTCATTTCCCGCAATGTATTCATCATAGCTAGCCGCCCACCAACTAGCAGTAAAATCTTGTCGCTTTGACCGAAGCTTTCTGGCTTTAATAGAATACAACGTAGTCCGCTCCGAAGTCAAAATTGGGTATTTATCCGGCTCGCCTGCGATTTGCCGGGTCAATTCAACAAATTTTTTTGTTGATTGACACGATTTCGTCGTCATGCATGAACTCAGCAACAGCCTCAGCATCGAGGTTTAGAGGAACATTTGGATCTCGATGATGGGCCATACTTCGCTCCATGTCACGGCATTCGTAGTCCGGTTTGAGATCATAAAACAAAGCTTGCATGTCCAGAGACTTAAGTTGTGATTGGTACTTCACAAATGTTGCTGAGTTTTTATGATCAAGGCCCTGATTACGGGAAGCCGTGGATGCGTTGGCTAGGCACCATTATTAGCTCAATCCAACCAGCCACGAGACACTAGATACTAACGTACGGTCTATTTTGTTTGCCATTCCGCCTCGGATTCCGTGGACGCGTAGGGGATCTCTAAAGCCGTCTCGTTGGGCCAAACTCGTGATATGATGGCGCAGCGATGAGAAAGTCAACGCGCGGTCGTGGCTACGTCCTTCAACAGCGACCATCCGGAGAAAGGGACGGTCTCTGACATTATCATTCCACTGAAGTGTCCAGGATTCCTTTCCTTTTGGCGGGCGTTTCTCCAGCAGCTCATCGATTGTTGAGATTCCTCTGAATGCATGGTCTGCGAGTCCAATGACAGACACCCAAAAGAGAAACCCCAACCCGAGTACAGGATGAGAATTGAACCAGGTTCTGGGTCTAAGCATCGCCATGAGCTCATCGATCAACGGGCAGCGGGGGATACGAACTTACAATATCTCATCGTCTCGGTAACGATGCCCTTTCAAAAACTCAGGATCAAGGGTGACCCAGCGTATCACTTCCTCTGATCCGCTCGTCCGTTTAATATTAAAGGTAAGATGCTGCAAATATGTTAGCAACCACTTCATCCAAGCTTATGGCTAGGTCTTTTCTCATACCTTATAGTAGAGGCACTCGTTTGTATTCCGGTAGCTGCTCGATTCAACGACCGCACCAGCTCGCGCGGCTGAACCTGCAAAGAGCGAGAGAGCAGCTCCAATCTGGACCCTTGCAGACTCATGTTCATAGTCATGCTCGTCCTCGCCAAATAGGCGATGCTGGAGTAGCTTGATGTCTTGATGAGTCACATGGAATGGCTCGCGAACCACTGTGGGCAGATTGTACTTGACTTGTAGCTCGGTTCTTACATGCTATCATCTAGTCAGCGCTGCAGGAACAGAAATAAGAGGAACAGAGATACGAGAAGCAGGAAGATAACATGCATTAAGAACGTCTTGCCTCACGGCCTTTGAGATGCTTCGGTCAGTGTGACGCTCCCACTTTGAGGTGAAGGAGATAAAGTAACCACACACAGTCTTGACGGAGGAGAGGCGTGCGGTATGCGATCAAGCTCTCTTGCAAATAGCTTTAGGGTCCGAGGAGTGGGATCGGGCTCGTCTTTATCGAAATTCGCATGTATAGGCTCGTTGCGAGAATGCCTCCAACTGAATTGAATCAGCACAAATCATCTAGCATCATGTGTCCGAAGCGTACAGTGCCCAATCTACAGCTCGCTCTTGTTTAGCTACAGTAGCAGGGGCGAGCTTTCGAAAGCAAACAACGTTGTCTTGCTCTTCTTGTTGTTGCTGATACTCAGCAGTGAATCCCCGAGATGCAGCACATTTCAACCGATCTTCCAGCGTCTTGGTCAGTTTGTCATCCATTTTAGTCACGTGATGGGTGCGGGAGGGTCCGATGGTGGGAAGAGAATTGAAGAATGAAAGAGTAAAACCTCAATTTTACGGACCGTCCGGTCTATCTTAAATAGTTCTGGAGGTAGGGCTGGCAATTCCTCCTGGCCTACCTGCAATCACACAGTGTCATTCCAATCTCACCCATGTCTTCACCCAGCACACCCATACTCACCCGCACTCACCCGCACTCACCCTCGCGTCGCGCGACCATCACTCTTGAAGCGGCAGCAACTCGGAGGCTCGACATGCGGTTGGGCACGTTGTATAGTGGCTTAAGTATGGCTGAGCGGACGGGAAGCCCTGCTTTCCACTCCCTATGGTCGTATGTACAGATGTAGATGCTGGTAATGTTATTCTAGATTGATGTCTTGTTATTATTTCGATGGCGAACTGTGCATCTGTGGCCCTTGTGGGTAGTATCGGCTTCAATCTTACCCAATGATGCTCCCAAGGAGATAAGTTGCAGGACTGAATGTACAGGAGTACCTCTTTTCAAGTTTCGTAATACTTAGAATGCGATTTCAGGCTGGACTAGGCGCTATAAATTAGCTGGTAGTTAATCAAGAAACAAGTACAGTAATCTGTAGATGAACCAAGGATGGCAAACGCGTAGGAATTCATAACCTCCTTCCTGTCCATTTCCCCGTCCATCGTTCATAGAGAGTAATTTTGAATTAATCATTATAGTTTTGATGCCAACGAAGATAATTAACTATCAAAAAAGCTACATAGTTACATCTTTTATCTGCTGAAAATTCGGTTCAACAGTTAATGTCTATATATAACCAAACTCTCAAATGCTGGCTCTTTGAAGAAGAGTTTCAATATGAGCTGATTTTGAAAAAAAAAAAAAAAAAAAAAAAAAAAAAAAAAAAAAAAAAAAAAAAACTGAATGAAGCCAGATCACTTTGATCTGATTCTAGGATTCTAGGAAAATGTATGCCGCCATCACACAGGGGTGTGGCAGAGCTTCGCCGCTTGGGGAAAATTGTTCCCATCTATGGAGTTTAGGAGTGTGCTTCTTACAATTCCAACCCAGCTAACCATCATAATGGGAACTCTCTTGATTTAGCTTTATGACAAAATGACTAAGGTGGATCCTCTGCTGCATTTTGCCTTACTGGTATGGCTTTTTGAATTTATTGCTTTCATCAAATATGTCAATTTGGTTGGCTATTATCGGCTGCATCCTTGTGATCTTGTCCTGCCGCCAATCTCTGTCCTCCGGCTACTTTCATGGTTTGATCAAGATGTACTCTGCATTCACTCCCGGCAAGGTATGGCTCACATTCTTCCTTCCCAGTCTGCCATCCCAGTTTTGCTAACTTGTCTCCTAACATAAAGGTTGTGTCGCTCTCGCCTAGTTAAATACAACAACGTTATCCTCCTAGACGTGGGTGCCGCTGACCACAACCCTTCTCATTCTATTCCCAACGATGGCAAGTCCTTTAAGACCACTCCAGATCGCCATTCAGCGGTATCCATCCACTATCATGACTGAAACGATGTCGCGTATGCTGGGGCAGGATATCAACCTCAAGACTGATCGTCATAACCTGTCCGACCGTGAAATCACCCCACCAGCACTCGCTCCTTATTTAAACTCGTTCGTGGTTACCTTTCTGGGCTGGTAGCTCACTTAAAGTCGATCGTACGACGGTGCAAATATATGATCGCATGGCCAAAATCTCCAGTATTGGACGAGAACGTAACAGATGTGCCAGAAAGCGGCGAACCATCTTTGTTGCTCCTAACGGGTTACGGCCTCCGGCTAAATAGTGTTGATTACAGCAACATCAGTGGCTCAATCACTGTCTATGCTGACTCGCACTCGCATCTCCAGAAAATTAAGAGCGGGGAAAAGATGGAAGCTGGAATAACCACATCAACACGCTACGGTTATCGGATGTTCCCCGACTGGCAAACATCATACCTTTGGTATGACCCTCTGTGGCCCCAGAATCCCAGCGATGAAAGCCACGTCGACGAAAAGACGATCAAGGATCGTTATCCTATTCTGGCACCTTTCTATTTGGCCTGGAGAGACGTATACGAAAAATCATTTGAGCAACAAGGATGTGATATGGGCAGTGGATTGGAGCCCTTCCCCGACACTGCTGATCGTGTAGCCTGGGAGGTAGAAGGCTTTCTGATCGCTTGCTGGCTAGGGCTGCAGGACGACACCGAACAAGTGTTGTATACACTTCCGACGGGCACCTATCAGATTGATAAGAAGAGCAAAGACTCGGTTTTGCGGCAGTTCCTGATAGATGAGGACAACCTCCTCAGACGTGACGATCGCTGAGTCGCCGCTTCACGTTCGGCCTTCCATGTGCCATATTGTTGTGTCGACATGATTGGGTTTTTTCTTTATTCTTTATTTTTCTTATTTTCTTATTTATTTGTTTATTTTTTTGGTCTAATGACCTTACGGGTCTCTGCAGGTGGCTGACGGATAATTTAATGCGGCAGCTAGGAGTGATTTGTGGGGCGGTGCTAGCTCTAAATTGATGACAGCAAATAGGGTCCACATAGTTTCCGTGTCAACAGAGTGGGTGGCTGAATACAGATCGAGAGCATGATAGCTTGTATGAATGCTCGTCTAAGCTCTACACTTGTCAGGTAGCGAACATTCGATTATTAGACTTCTTAGATATCTTAGCATTGCATAACTTTCTCAGAAAAACAAGAAGAACAAACAAACGAGACCAAAAAAATATCATACCATAACAATAGTGCTCTAGGCTGGACGTGCAACTACTTTTTAAGTTATGGAGGGACGTTACTGTTCCCACAAGGCCGATGGCCAATCATTCGGCTCAGCGCTTTAGTTGTCCATCAAAACATGTCCCTGCTCTGAGCCATTAAAAATCCGGCAATGGCTCCAGAGGTTGAGTCAGAATAGATAGTAGCCAGACTGACCTCATGTGATCTGTGATCGAAACTCTTGTATCCTCATATACATCCTCAAGCCAAGATTGCCAGTCCCAATCAACCCAGGCATCAAAGACATGCCAAAACCCCCAAGCCTTATTCCAGCGGAGCAGCGGTGAAATTGAAACTTCAGGGAGATATCGTTGCTCCTCTTCTGGATATGGCGTCCTCCCAAGTCTTGCTTTCCCAAAATCAATGATTGTTATCTTCCAAGTTTTGGCTGTGTTCTGTAAGAGTATGTTCCGCGGATGTATGTCCCCATGCCGGACATTACATGTGTAGAGCAATGTTTCAGCATCAATTATAGCCTTTATAACAGCCTGACGATCTCTCTGCGAGAATTTCATGGGACTCAGTTGCTGCATAGATGTCCCAGAAACAAGCTCAATTAGGATCAGTCGAACCAAGCGCGTGGTAGTTCCATCAATTGGCCACTGAAGCGTATATGAGCCGAAGTAATTTGGTATGACAGTCCCATAGAGCTGAGGGAGTGCGAGGTAGGCGGCAGTGTCACGTGCATAATCGCGGTCAACACAAAGGAAAGGGTCTACATCATCTTGTCCATGATCAAAGTAGAGAGGGTCATAGATCTTGGCAAGGAGATTTGTGTCGGTTGGCAGCATCTTCGGAGGTGAAGTATGTAGGATTTGAACAGTAACTAGCTGAGCACTGTGATTATCTCCAATTCTGACAGCCCCGTCTATCTTCAATTCGGCAGTTGTTGGTTGTTGGTCCATCTGATCCAGCAAGAGGAGGGTGTTTGATACAACGATCCAAAGGGTGCATTGATTCTCTCTCATATGCAGCTTCAGAGGTGAGCGAGCAATCGTAACTTGTGCTTGTGGGTGAAGGCGGATTATGTGAGCGAAATGTAAACACCGTGCCAACAACATAAGGCAGGTCTGGCTTTGAGCAGTTAAACCTGGAGCAAAGTTGTCACTCAAAGGATAAGTCATCGTTGTGGCATGCAATGTAAAATGAAGAACGTGCGGGCATTAAACACTGGTGTGGGTGGAGATTCCAAGCAATTCAGGTCGCTTGGTCAACAGCCATACACTGTCCAGCTGCCTATTGGGCAACGATGCTGGGTAACCAGCTTCTATGTCAGGCTGTCTGGTCTGGCTTCTGCCCAGACACTCTCTCAACATAGAGGTTGTAACCTTCAGGTGTGTCTCCCCGGGAATGTTATCATCCGGACTCAAGTGGCATCGTCGTGTCTGCCAACTCTCTCACCACGAATATGGCCCCTCCAACGATCTATGAGGCTTTCAGCCGACCCCTGGATGATCTCCCCTATACCGCAGTTACGAACAATTACAGATCTATTTCTTCAAGTGCACATTCAACAGTGGCAGAAGATCCTCCAAGCGCTTGTGTGACAGAAAACCCAAGCGTTCTTATCAACTATGCCCGCAACCAACTCCTCGCTCATACTCCAAATAGCGGCTCCTTAGCGGAACGCATGCCTCAAGTTGAACCAGGCCACCTTCTTCATACAGAAGCTGACGTACTTCGTGCATCAGTTCTTTATCTTATTCATCCTGTTAATGTTGTTGCAAATCGACTTCTCAACACTGGCAGCCTTGATTGTAGGGGTGAATTGGCTTCAGGGGGTGGCTGCCGAACCGATGTGAGATGGGTGTATCGCAATGGCAGTCAGACCCCGAACATTGCGGTTCTCGAAGTGAAATATACGAAGGTCTTGCATTTGAACGATTTTCATCCAGCATTGACGAACCAACAAAATGCACGCGCAAAACGGGATGCTGCTCAGGGCGAGGAAAACCGCACCCACTTTAAGCGGAACGCATATTGGATAAAAAAGCAGGCGAAGAAGTACTCTAGGAGGGTTTCACCTTGATATGCTTTTTTGATTGGAATTCAATGTTCGTGTCCGA